TAAGGTATTAAACCCTGTTTATTGTAGGGAATTGTACTAATAATACTGTGGAGAAAAAAGCAAAACTACTTTTACTGTGAAAATACATTAAAATTGAGATCAGCTTGGTTTACCAGAAAAAAGATCTCATATTTTCTTCTAATATTGTGAACATTGTTCTAATCACATTAGCACTCAAAGCCTTTATTAAATCAAAGACCCTAAGTTTGCTATGCAGATTTGTTCAGCTTAATGGCTGCTACAGAATGTATGGTATGTTCTATAAGAGGTGGCTAAAAAAAACCCTGGATGTGTGTACTTTATAATCAAATCAATTATTACATTACAAAACTATTGATCTTTCCCCAAATGACATTTTTATTTTCTGCATTTCTTCTGAGTAAGCTTAGACTTCAAAAATGCTTACTATTAACCCCCCCCCCTTTTTTTTTCTTTGCTTACCAATTCAAGGGATTCTCAGAACAGTAAATACCTTTTTTCCTCTGTGCAACAGAAGCCTTCAGATTGTGATAATCCTCACATAATGTCAAAATTCAGAAGACTAAAAATGTATTTTCAGCATATTTTGTAAATACTTCAATATTGAGCTACCTTGTGCTTGATTTCATGGGATTTTGGGTTTTTTGGGTTTTTTTGGTTTTATTTTATTTTTTTTTAAATTGAAGTTATTTTTCACAGAATCATAGAAGGTTTGGGTTGGAAGAGGCCTTAAAATATCATCTCATTCCAACCCCCTGCCATGGCCAGGGACCTCTTCCCAGGCTGCTCAACCTGGCCTTGGACACTTCCAGGAATGAGGGAGCCGTGGCTTCTCTGGGCTTGGGCCTCCCCACCCTCACAGGGAAGGATTCCTTCCCAATATCCCAATATGGTGTCAGTATGAACCATTCCTCCTCGTCCTGTGACTCCATTCCTTGTCCCACATCCCTCTCCAGCTCTCTTGGAGCCCCTTTGGGCACTGGAGGGGGCCTTAAGGTCTCCCTGGATCCTTCTCCAGGCTGAACACCCCCAGCTCTCCCAGCCTGGCTCCATAGGAAAGGTGCTTCAGCCCCTGGAGCATCTCCATTGCCCTACAACAATTTGGTCCTTGACCACCCTGCAGTTCTTATCCTCCCACCCCAGAGCTGTCAGGCACAGCGCACAGTGCTCTGCTATTCTCCAGTCTAAATAAAAAAATAAATTATTTAGCATTCTATCAGTAGTATCAGCCCTTGCAGGGCAGCTTTGGTTTTCCCTGGGGTAGCAACCTGGCTGCTTTGAAACCGTGACAGGCCCACAACGAGAGTTCTTGAGCAGAGGGAATCAGGGAATGACTCCACAAGATGAGTATGTGAGGGTTTGGGAAGCCAGCACCTTTATCCCAACACTGTTGCCAAGCACAGGGGTGTCCAGCTGTGCCACATACGTTTTTCAAATGTTCCAGCTTACCAGCTCCTGGGCACAATTCCTCCAAACACAGAGCAGTCGGTGAGCAAGTTAATGCTTGGCCTCCTGCCTTCTTCCCCCCACACAAAGAGCTTTGTATGTCAAGTGTGAAAGCTTCAAAATGGAATAAAAATAAGATTATTTTTCATCCTGGATGGTAGGTGACAACGTGCAACTCTTTACCTTTTTCTTTCCTTTCCCTTTTTAGTTCTTTATGCTGAAAGAAAGATATAATGCACCACATTTTTGGAAGACTAAGCAGACGTTTACTGTGCCAGGTCCTATCTACTGCATCCTTCAGCATGTTCCAAGGAAAGCATGCAAAGTATTTTAACTCTGCCGTACAGCACATAACTCAGCTTCTTAACTGCTTAGAGTGACTAGTACTACTAGAAAGGGAGTAAAAACTATCTATTTTCAATACTTTTGATAAACCAGTTGAGCAATGTCATTGCTGCCATTTGTTGTATCTGCTTCATTTTTCGAAGCAGGGATGATATAGAAGGAAAAAAAATAAAATACTGCTTGTGGTCTTGAGAAGTGAAGAGGAAAAAGATGTTGTCTTTGGGTTGGTGTTTCCTTAAAGATGACCCAGCTGTGCCATTCATCTGCTCATTTCTGCTGCATTTGATGGTTATTTATAGAGTATTCTAAAACTGGGAGGACTGAAGGAATGTCTTTATCCTTCAAACTGTGAGGTTCCATGCCATCATGTGAAGGTTCTTTTGTTAAAGTGAATTAGGAAAAAAGTAATGTCCAGTTATGTATAACAAACACTATTGTATTTGTTGGCGGCTTAGAGCATCATTCTGGAATCCACCTTTAAGAAAGAATTATTTTAAAGAGAGAATTGAAGGAAGAAAAGAATTCTGTTTACATACATGCAAGTAATTTTGCTTAAAAAAAATATTTGTACAGAGAGAAATCAATTGAAAGTATTTATTTAGTATATAAGAACAACATTAAATCCAGTTTTAGACAACTACTGCATACAATTTGTTGAGAGAAATTAAGTCCCTGTTGGAAAAATCCCTCAGCAGCACCTTTCTTTTAATAAAACTTTGAGATTTTTAATTTATAAAGAAACTTGTAATACTTATAATAAAACCTGTAGCCTTTGACAGTCTGCTTTTTCAGAGCTTTGTGGTCTATTTGCTGAGAGTAGCCATTGCTGAATCATTTAATTTAACATTACTGCTTTTGGGATTAATCTAGTTTTGTTTCCATATTACATTATGGGATGCCTGTGAAAGTTAAAGTATCCTTGTCAAATTTTCTACATGTTGGATGTTTTTTATCATCTCAGGTAGGACTTTGAAGAATAATTTCTCACATTACCATGTCATATGATTTTGTTTTTCCATGCCTTCCTTGTTGTTTCAAGGGGTTTTAAATCCATGGGAGGGCTGGAAGTGAAGGGTAATAGCCAGTGGCTTAACATATAGGTGGCATCAGGGAAAAATAAGGATTACAGAATTTCAACCATGTTGCAAAAAACCACAGATTTTAAAATTATTTTAAGAAGATACCTCTTAAATATGTGAAAAATTAAACCCCAAATTAGAGGCTTTTATAAAGCATTAAGTAAAATTACATGAGGAATTCTAGGACTGCTGTTTTAGGATGTATTATATGAGAAATGTCCTGTGCTATGCAGAAGTTCAGATTAGATTATCTCTGTTATGCCTTCTGTTTTCAAAAGTATACCTGAATTAATTCAGGGGCAAAGTTAAGTTCTGTAATGGGTTGAAGTTACAGCATGGATTGTGAAAATTATTTTTAAAGGAATAAAAACTCAATTTAGACTTAACATCTTGTTGGAATGGATTAACTCAACATTTTTACTAATATGAAATGGCAGCTCCTCAAAATGCAGTCAGGTTGCCAGAGCCATGCATAGGAGAAGTGGAAAATGCTTGAGCAGAACAATTTGTACCATGGTGACTAAAGGTACAAATGTAGTTGCAATTATTTACTGGGTAAAAAAAAAGAAAGGACAATCCAGGTGTATTCCTGGTCAGTTTGTGGTTTAGTTTAGAGCTAAACTGAACATTTTGACTGTAAAGCCAATCTCATAAGTTAAGGGTTGGATGGTTGTAGGAGAGTGACCTAAAAGGCATAGAATAGAGGGAGAAACTGTGAATCTGAAATGCTATTTTATGTAATTGCTTTTTCCTCTGATTTGAGAGCAGATAAGGTCAAATGCAGGTTGTATAGCATGGAGACATATATATGTATATGTATATATATCTATACACACACTTACCAATAGCCCCATTGTCTTCTTTTAAATCAGATTCAAGAACTCTGTGATTTCAATTTCATAGATGTAAAATTGTTCAGGGAATCAAAATTTGTGTCTGTGTGTGTGGTTTTTCCCTTGTTTTTTGTCCTGGGTGTGAGCACACCTGTACTTTTCACTCTTTCTGGGTGGTTTCTTGAGCTTCATGGGCTCACAGCACAAGCACTGTATCCACAGTGATAGTTCAGGTGTGATTGTTTATTAATTGAATTAATTTGGAAGACACTTCTATTCCTTTCCATGTTGTTTAAAACACTCTGCTTGATTGAGAGATTGGACTAAACTCTTTCTTTCTGACAGAGACAATCCTTCTTTATAATCTTACTACTGCTTCCTGCCTCTGATATTGGAAGGGTTTAATCTCTTGTGGAGACCAGATCTTTACCTTGTGAAAATCACTGCTTCTCTGTTGAAGTAAACAGAAGTCAAGCACCTGCTCAGACCTGCTCATGGACTTCAGTGCTGCTTCAACCATGATTCAATTACTGCATCCTGTATGTGTGGAGGGGAGAGTGTGCATAGTGTTTGTGGTTTTGTAACTTGACTCTTTTGAGATTCATTCTTTTGCTTGTCACTGGACTCCATGTGAAATACATTCTTAAATGCAGTAGTAAACATTTGAAGATATTTTTTCTCCCACAAGCTCTAATTCAATCTAATTTTCTTTCTTTTCCTGAATTGTTCAGAAGTATAAAAATTGAAGCATAAATTGAGAGTGAAAAAAAAAAAAAAAAAGAGGCACATGCACCATCTATTTATTATTGTGTATTGACGGTGGGAAGGGACACTTCAATGCCCCTCTGTCAGGCACATCAGTGTGATGGAATTTATTAGTTTCACAATTTAGAAGCGCACAGGTTCAGTTCTGCTCAGTGAAGAATGTGTTTGCCTTGGTCCAGGAGAACACTTTACTTTTCTGGTCATCTGTAAACACACAGGCAGAATACCCGTGTGCTTCAGTTTAAATGTGCATCTTGGTCAGGGCAGCAGTGCTCAGCACCTCTCTCCTCTCAGCCCTCACCACTGGGCTGGGTGAGCAGTGTGCAGGCGGGTTTTGAAAATAGGAATTGACACTCTCCTCTGGGAAATTTAACTCACAAGACTAATAACCCATCTGTGGTTTATATTTCTGCATCTTGACTTGTTCAATGCATGTTTAATTTGGGAGGGTTGCTTCAAGGTTGTGGCAAGGGCGCTTTGGTGCTATAATTTCTGTTGTGGAATGCAGTCTTGTTGGAATAAGGTACATCATGTACTTTTACTCTTTTGTCAGAGAGCAGAAAGACAAACACGAGCCATGGACTCGGTCCAGTATGCAGAATTCTGTGAAAGTCGGCAATTGAGTTTTTGTAAGTATTATAATGGCTGCACTATATTAAGATGTTTGATTATTATTTCATTTAATAGAGAGCACACCAGAACCTCATGTTTTTTGAAAGCGCTTTTGTTTCATCCACAGTAATAAAACTTTAAATTCTTTGTCTGTGTAACTCCTGGGAACAGTTAATTCAGCAGGTTTCAGGCCGTCAGGCAGAGTATTTTATTTGAATATTTACCAAGCTTTCTATGTGCTCAAATACTGAGCTGGTGGGAATGACTGCAAAGACAGGACTGGTGAGGAGTTAATGGATTAAAACCACACTTGCCCAAAGTCTGTTGTGGTGGTGCTAAAGTCGGCACATGAGCAAAGTTTCATGGCTGCAGGTTTTTTGGAATGCCTCTAAAATTAGAGAAGAGCAGCAAGTTTTGCTTTTATTTCCCGATCCGCAAAGACACAAAGAACTGACTAAAGAGTCTTTTCTATTTTAAGCTGTAAGCTCCTGCTGTGGAATTTATTCACCATTAGCCAAGTTCATCAGTATACGCCATTCCAACACTAATAACATGATGACAGAATTAGGGCTTTACTAGCACTGAAAACCAACTTACTAGAAGTACTTGTGGGCCACAACTATAATGAGCTGTAAATTAATGGGCTTGATCATGTAGTAAAACATCATTGCAGAAGTGGTTAAGTGATGACTAAGGTTTTAGGTCAAATGTCAGAGAAAGGGAGGTGAAGGAGCCAGTAAAAATCATGACAAAACAGCACATGATCCTACAACACAGACTTGAACACAGTGGTGTCATTAAAGGAGACCTTATCTTGTTCTTCCTTTTAAATTCAAAGAAAAAGTGACTCATTTATGGCAAATAAATGACACATTTGACATACTGTTCTCCATCAGCAAACGTCAGCAGACGTAGGAAAACATGTTTTGTAAGCATTTCTTTTTCTAATTCAATATGTTTTTTACGTTTAGTTATAATTTGGCATCACACATCTGTGAACCATTAGATAAATGATACTTCAGATTAGGGTGACTTCAGGAAATGAGAGGTTTGTGATAAAGTCATTTTTAAAACCCCAAAATTGCCATCTGGAGACAGAACAAATAAAAATCTTAAATTTGCAAAATAAAATAGAATGTTGCTGACCAAGAGATTGTGATCTATAAAAATATCTCAGTGTTATTTTCACAGTGTTTTTAAATGACCATGTCTATATAGTTCTTTTTCACTGACATTTAATGTCATTAAAGAAAAAGAGAATTACAGTGGTTAGAAAATAGTACCAAGAGAGACATGGGCACAAATTCAATTGCACAAAATGAGCTCAATTAGACAGAACGTACTGAAGGCCATGCAGAACATTTGTCCAAAGGCTTTTTTTACTTGTTTATTTCAGTAAAAATTGATTGTGTTACTATGTTTAACAAAGTGTATTGCTGTAATATAAGCCCATAAAAACTGTGTCACAAGAGAATGAACCTGGAAGGAACTTCAAGAAACCTGTTCTAAAAATATATATAAATAATCACAGCTCCAGATATTTCTGCATTTTTAAAGACAGGCAAAGGAAAAGGTCCCTCAAAGGATCAAGTACTACAGAATTGCAAACCTTAAATTCTAGGGAACATTTTGTGATCATTTTATTACCTTCACACTTACCGTGTTTCTTTCTTTTTTTTCTTTTTTTGTTTGTTTTTCTTTCTTTAGTGATGCAATGTAGCCTTCCATTGACCTTTTTTCTGTTTAACACCTGACTTGTCTGTAGCTCTTTAGTCCTGATTGAAAACTCTTTTTCAAAGAGTTGTTTCCTCTTCCTTCAGATGATTTTTCCACCTTGTATTTACTTCGTTTTGGTTGTCCTGTCTCACAAACAACCCTCATTAAGATCTCTGTCTCAGTAGCTCCTTTATGTCCAGAGATTTCTATGATCATCTTGTCCACCACTGACCTAAGTAAGATCATCTTTTTTCCCTCCTCTTACTCTCCAAGCAAATATTAAATTTCAGTATCCCATATTTTTTCGCAGCCCTTTTTCTGAATCGATCTCACCCGTTACCAGCGTGAAGTTCTTGTATGAATGTTGATTTTACATCTGTCCTTATTTCTTTAAATCCAAAGCACACTTAAAAAACACTCTTGTACAAATAATTTTGGCTCACTCGTCAGCACTTCAGCCCTGTAAAGTTAACACCAGGACCTCCAAGTTCTTCTGTCCTTCATTTGTCTTTGCTATTGTTAATACAATTATATAAATTTTATTTGGACTCATATTTGTGCTCATTTCTTCTAGTGTTTTTTAATTTGTCAAAGATGTGATGCAATAATTTTATGTATTTTACAGTAATATATTCTAAAGCAAGTTTGTCTGGTCCACACTCTTCTGTGGCTGACCCTTCCTTGTTCTGAAATCCCCTGTGTGATCAATTATTTTGTTTTTTTCTCTTTATTCCATGTGCTTATGGGTCTCCAAAATGTATGAAATAACAGTCTTTCCCCTCTGGTTCCATTTTGAGAATTCCTTCTTTGGCCAATCAAATCACACTCACACTAAATGCTTCAGTTTTGCAGTATTGCTGTGACAGGAAAAAAAAAAAAAAAAAGGATTATTTTGGCCTATCTGTCATTAACTTTTCTTTTTCCCCTTATGGTTTTAACTGACAGCAAAGAAAGCATCCAAGTTCCGTGACTGGCTGGACTGTAGCAGTATGGAAATAAAGCCAAATGCAGTTGCAATGGAGATTTTGGCATATTTAGCATATGAAACTGTGGCCCAGGTAAGGGACTGATTGAACTCTAATGAAAATGAATTAATTACTCTTGGAGGTGCTTCATCCTCAGGGTCTGGGTTGTCAGCCCCTTCAGAAATAGTCACTACTTCAGCTCTCCAAGCTCTCTGGATTCATGGAGTCATGGGGTGGCTTGGATTGGAAGGGACCTTAAGGCTCATCCAGTTCCAGCCCCCAGCCATGGGCAGGGACACCTGCCACGAGACCAGCTCAAAAATACAGGCTGTCTTTCAATTTGCTGTGTGACAGACGAGTGCTGTGCTGTGTTCATCCATCTCATGCACAAACAGAAATGTTTTATAATGGCTGCAGGAGAGAGGGGAATCCAGCACGAACCTTTTTCAAGTCCAAACTGAAACCACACTCTGATATGTGACCTTTGGCAGTGCACTGAGGCTCATTCAATCCCATTGCACAACTGGATTAGAAAGAAGGATTTCCTGGAAAACAAAATGTTACCATAGTGCCAAGCCAAGCCCTCTTGGGTAGATAGATTGCTCCATATATTTACAGAAGTGGAAGAGAAAGGTTCTTTAGACTGAAATATCTGAATAACTTTATTTTCATCTGAGAAACACTGAGAATATTCTGCTTCAGCCCACAACCCTCACTCTCCCATTGCTACAATGGCATTTTAGTACCAGGTCAGTAACCCTGCCTGTTTTGCCCCTCCAGCTCGTGGACTTGGCCCTTTTGGTTAAACAGGATATGACTCCCAAAGCTGGTGACCCATTCAGTCATGCCATATCTGCCACCTTCATACAGTACCACAACTCTACCGAGGTAAAACTTGATTTTTCACATATTAATGCATTTTGTGTTTTGCTTGTAAATGCATTTTCCTACAAAGTTGTCATTATTGAATGTGATATTTATATCGACTTCTGTTATGGAGTTTATGAACTTTGAAGTTATGGATTTAGATGCAAAGATATTAAATTATAATTCTATATGTTAAATTCTTTTTAAAAAGCGCCTTTATAATTAAATAAAAATCCACTTTTCTTGGGTGAAAATTTCTTCTCTCTGTGTTCAAGGCTCTGTTACAGATTTGGAGATTAAAATATTCAAAATTGGCAAGTGCACTAAGTACCGTGTTGCATGCATTGATATTGCACAGATATTATAGTAACTTCTAGAATGAAAAAAACAAATTCTGTATTGCATCTCTTCCAACAGGGAATCTCAGCAGGAAATAGTTGGGGTGGGTTTTATTTGTGATTTGATTATTTTGGGGCTGTTTGACATCTTGCTTTTACAGCCACATCTCTTAGGGCAGTCTACGAGTGTGAAGACCAGTCTTGACTCCCCTGAGAACACACCACCCCCTACACCAACCCCGCCAGCATCAGCAGGGCAGCAACACCTTGGGAAAACCCCCTCAGGAGCCTTGGGGAACGGTGGAATTGGACAGGACTCCACCAAATCCAAACAAAGGAAAAGAAAAAAGGTATCTGGTGTACAGTCCTGGGGAAAAGAAAAATAAGAAAGAAAAAAAAAACCCAAAACATTCTCAGGAAATCATCACAGAATCACAGAATGGTTTGGGTTGGAAGAGACCTTAAAGATCATGCAGTTCCCATCCCCTACCATGGACAGGGACACCTTCCACTAGACCTGGTTCCTCAAGCCCCATCCAGCCTGGCCTTGAACACTTCCAGGGATGGATATCCACAGCTTCTCTGGGCACCCTGTGCCAGGGCCTCACCATCCTCCCAGTAAATAATGTGTCTTGTCTTAAATATTAGTTTAAACCTATATCACATATTAATGGCCATTGTAATTGTAGGGCCAAATGTGTGGTTTGGTGTTTTTTTTTTCCTATCAGAATTATGCTAAATTTTCCTAATAATGTCTGCAAACTGAATTTTGTTAAGGTGACAACTGCAGCTTCTAAGATAACCTGCTCCTCTACAAGCACAGCAATTGTCACCACCCCAAATGATCATCCCCTTCTCTGACAAGTTTTAAGGGTCAAAATATGAGCAAAATAGGCAAAGAGGTGCTTGTGATCTTCCTGATCCCAGCAGTCTGATCCCAGCCACCCTTGCTTTTAACAACTTTGCCTGACTTGCTTCATTTTGATACCAGTTGTTTGCATTCAAGCTAAATATTCAGGGATGTCTCATATTCAGGGTATGAAATATGTTTTACAATTCTTGTCTGCTGTTGCATAGTCTTGGTCTTCTGAGAGGGATATGTGTACTTAAAACCCACAAGAGAAATCAATGTGATTAAATAAACTGGATAGGAAAATCTGTCTTGGTCACTTGGGCTGTTTTGAAGAAATGTGATGGCAGTGCTGATTTTGTTGAAAAGCAATGGAATGACTTGAGATTTTATCAAGTGTTTTATTATTAAAAAATACTTTTCAGGGTAAAACTGCTGATGTCCACGGTGATAAGGTGGAAAAAAAAAGTATTTTCTCCTGGTGTCATCAATGCTATGGATAGTCCTGAAGTGTTCAACTTCCTCCTGTCCTTATTATACACTGGTTAGAAAGCTTTTAGTGAATCCTGGAAGGACTTCTGCTTTTTCCTCTTCCTTTTTTATGTTATATTTGATTATATTTTGTTCCTGTGGCTGATATTCATTATAATTCCTAGGAACAAAAATTTAGCTGGAGGTGTAGTTTTTGATGCACTATATTTTATTGATGCTGAGAGTTTAAGTTCTTATTGTTTGACTAAATGCCTTTGAAAAGTATTATATTCCAAAAAGTGCACAATTTTAATTAAATGTTCCCATGACTTACTCAATTTGTTTAGGTATCTACTGGATATAAATGTGGCAAACCAATTAGCTTGGTGAAAAATACTATTTTTAGGCCATGAAGGCCCAGTCCAGCAGAAAATATTTGAGTTTCATATTCCCTTTATGGATGTCAATCAGCAGGAGAAGAATCTGCCATCATACGAATAATGAATAATTCTGTGTGTACTCATAGGCTCCAGTGGACTCAGTGCTCTTGAAAATAAAGCATTTTTGTAAAAAACATCCCAAGTTTGAGAGCATTAGGATATGATGTGAATGTATGAGGGGGCCATGGATGTATGTACATTGAACTTCAGTGTAAAATTAAAGTTTTTATCATTCTCAGTGCACCCACTAATACAATTTTCATTCATTTATTGCCAAGCAGCCATCATTAGATAAGTCCTCTGAATTCTGGCAAGCAGTTGTGTCTAGGTGGAGCCTAAATCAATATTTCAAGCTGGCTAGCAAGGAGAAAAGAATAACTTTTTCTTTTAAAATCCCAGGAAAATTATTGTACAATCTGTCAATAGCAGTAAATTCTTATTTTTATGTATTCTGGGTCCATAGTGAAAATAATCGCTTGAAATTTTAAAACTTTCCAGTTTGAGGTAATTAAAAAATTTCTGTGTCCTTCTAACACCCTTATGTCACATGTTTCAGCTTCAAATTTCAAGTTGATACTATTCAATGGTGATTTTGGTGTCAGATTGCTTTCCACTTCAGGTGCTTGTTCAATATTTTCCCCACCCCTTGACGTATAATAAGAACCTGAAATGTTTAAAAAATAGTTTCTGTGGTTATTGCAGTATGACTTATATAACCCTTTCATTTTAGTTTGAATATTTTCTGCTCTTTGCAATTGCAACATAGAGCAGCACTAAGTGAAAGACTTAAAAGGACTAACATGGTGTTCTTTGGGTCTCTTAAGCAAAGTTCATGTAAAAGTCCTCTTTAATTTGTTAATAGCTTTTTTCTCTGATGTAGTGTGTGGCACCAACGATGTGTATCCTCAGGAAAAAAAAAAATTGGTCCATTTTATAAAGGTTTATTTTCATACTTTATGCACTGTAGGTCTGTTGTGTGTTTTTGATTTAGTAACAATTTATGTGTTTTTCTGTTGCAGAGCACTGCAGCCTGTGGGATGGAGGCTCAAAGTGATGCCATCCAGCCCAGCCACATCAGAGAGGCCATTCGACGCTACGGCCACAAGATTGGCCCCCTTTCCCCATTCACAGTACGTAATAACAGAGTTATAAAAAGTTATATTTATAATCTTAAAGAACTCTGATTTTCAAGTGGTCAAATGAAGAAGCTTTGGAATTGTTGAGAGCAATTTGTGGTGACTGTAATTTTCTTTATAAAAGTGGCATAATTCTCTTGGGAAATAAAACTTAGTAATTTCTGTCTCTTTTTGGAAAGACAAAAAAAAAAGGTTTTTTTCCTTTCAAATATTATTTTCTTTCAATTACAAATTATGCTTTTTTGTTAGTGTTTGAATTTTCTGTTTTTCCAAAGTTTAGGTTTACAGTTATTTTAAATTATATGTATTCCAATATGGTGAAGAGCACTTTATATTCTAAAATTAGTTTGGTGTCAGATACTGCTCCTATTGGATGTTGAACTCTCAAGTGACACATTTACGGTTGGGGAAAGAAGAGAATGGGTTTTTTTAGACAACTTTGAACCTCCACTGAAATGTAATAGAACTGATCTTGTGGTAAAACACTGATGGGTTCTGAGGTTTTGCCATCATTTTTTCTATGCAAATTGCAAATCCATTGTTCAGAGCAGCCAAAGAAATTCTTTATTCTCAGCTGATGAAAATGTGAAAGCAGTCCATCTCCAATGTCATAAATTGGGGTAATTTTCTTCTCATCTACTGTTCTGTGTGGCTTTTATCCCGCTTACCTCAGAATATCTGCATTTAGAAAATAATAAATATCAAAGGAGTCATTATAGGAAAAAACAAACAAAATCCACCAAACAGGACCTCAGCTTCTAAAAATCAGGAAGAAATTGTCCAATTTCTGAGAGATTTTAGAAAAGGAAATTTATTCGGAATGTGGAGTAATTAATTTACGTAAAAGCAATGCAGAAGTATATGAAGGCCATAAGTATAAAAGAATAGTGGGATTTCAGAAGCAAGGAACAAGAGAAGAGAAAAGTTATAATTTTATTAGTTATAGTTTTCCTAGTGACAAAACTAATCAGTGCTTTTATAGATGGCAGTGAAAGTTTGGTTTATTAGTGATAGTCAATACACAATTGCAATGAATTGTCTTTGTGTAACTTCACCTTTCTCTTTTGCAACTCAGAAATGCTAGATTAATATCATGTAAAGTGTTGGATAGAATTTCCAGTCCAAAACAGAAAAATGTCTTTAGCAGAAGTTTGCTAAGAGATGTCGTTAAGAATATGGTAATAGCTTCTGAAAGCAGAGAATGTATTTAACTTTATTTTTAAAAAGTAAAGAACTCACATAAACAGCTGCAGGAAGGTGAATCTTCCCTCGCTGACCCTGACTAAAAGTGCTTTGGTCAATTATTAACCAAAGTTCAAATTTTTTCTTCAACCACAAGGTATAATAAAATACCCTGGTTTGGGCTGGGGTTTTTTTATGTCCTCCACTCTTGAGAACTTCCCAAACAGTGCAACTGAACAATTTAATTTGTTAACATTACCTACAGTCAACGTGGTTGATGAGAGGAGCAGATCTTGTTCCCTCTGAACAAGCCAAGAATAAGAGGGAATCTTGGGTCAGCTTCTGGATGCCTACAGATGTTGTAGAGCTGTAACATGATTCTGCTTTTAATGAGAAGGTTCAGGAAAAGTATTTTGAGAGATATTGCAGAGTCTGCATTTAGGTCCTTTCCCCTGTGAGTGCCCTCATTGGAGTTTTGGGGAGACACCTGGCAATGACAATTGTCCACGCAGCAACCAGAAACTCTGGGTCTTAATTTGGCACAAATGTGGATAGAGCACTGAATACCCTCTGCAATCTGCATCAATGCAAATTTCCAGCACAAATATAATTTAATTATGGCCAGATCTGGTGGTGTGTGTGTGTGTGTGTGTAACCGAACCTGAGGAAACGAATTAACAGAAGTAATGCAGATTTTTATGCAATCAGGCATGGCCATTTCCTCAGATCTCAGCAGCGGGACCTGTGTGACAGAGGCCATGTAGGCAGTGCAAAACCTTGGTAAAATATTAGAAGTCTGAGCTGCTCTCTGCAGTGTCTGAAGGGAAAATTGTATCAGAAGGATCTAAACCCTGCCTGAACTCTTTGAAGCAGCTAGAAGGGATATTTTTATGGATCAGTGCAATAACCAACATACTGGCAGTTGTCAAGGGGCTGCTGCATTCAGAAAGTTCATATCTGAACCCAAACCACCAAGGGATGGGTTTCTAACAGGAAAAATGAAATTTAACAGTTGAATTGTCCTACACAAGGATGGATGATGTGGAAAGAGAGCTGCCAATTGCTTCCCAGCAGTTCTTATGGAAAGCCACTTTTTAAAAAAGACAGTTGAGGAGTGAAAAACTTCATGCTTTTTCAAGCTACTGAATAGCTCAGCCCCAAAGATAGAATTTAGATTTAATTTCTGTAGGAATAAAATACAGGAGAATGTCTTGTTTATTTTTTTTTAATACAAATACTTCTGTTTTCTTAAGATAATAATTGTGTATTTGTAGAGCACAAACAGTGATATTTTTTCACATCTTTCCCTGTTTTGCTGTTTCATCATGATTGTCACTCTCTTCCATCTGATTTAGTGATAACTGTTCCTAAGGAGTTGGTTTTGGAAGAAGAGTTAAGCTGTACAATTTATTCTTTAGCAGCATTTGGTGAATGTTGGTTTGGATAGAAACAATACTTTGAAAGTTTCATAATCATATGGTAAATGAGAACTAACATTAAACCATTGAAAATGATCCCTTTGCATTTATTTTGACCTTAATAGTTATGTCAGAATGACTAACATAATTAGAGCATTTAGGTTTTGTCTCCAAGTGCAAGCCACAGTGGAAAGCAGCAAGTGTACTCTGGATACTTCTGCATTGTATCATGTCTAAGGTAGTTTAGACATGTGTTATATCTAAATATTTTCTCTCAACTGTATTGGGTGTGTTGCTTACTTTGAATCATAGTCTATACTTCCGAAAACCAGAGAAATATTAAGCAATAGTACCATGTAATTTTGCAAGACAGGAATGGGAGCTATGGAATTCTCCATCATATGAGATAATGCAATTCTGTGTGCTGGACCTGTGTGTATTTCTATGCACATTTAAGTTAAGGAAGTACATAGTGCATTGATTTCCAGTCTTGACTGGGCCTGTAGGAATAATCCTAATAGTCTTCCAAATAATAGTATTTATTATGCCAAGGTGTTCACAAAAATATTAGGTGGATATTTCTTACCATGAACCCAAGCATAATGTCTCTAGAGAAATCGTTTTAAGTTACTTGATTTGATTGTATTTCAGACAGTTGAGGTAGCAAAAAAATAATTCTTTAAAGAGTATTTATTTTGTGAACAGCACACAGTGCTTACCTGGAGTCTTGATAGGAGCAGCTGTAAGTGGTGCATGAACAGACTGTAAGTAGTGCTTGTGACCACGAGAACAGCTGTAGCAAAGAGAACAGCTCTAGCAAAAAGGACAGCTGAGATCCTTTGCTCTGAAACAAAGTGGTCAGCTACAATAGTGGAAGACCACAGGCAAAAAGAACAAGAAAATGTTTCCAAAGCAGATTCTTTGTCTTTAGTTTATGCCAACTCTGAAATGAAGTGCTTCAGATGTTTAGTTAAGAGAAACTGAGTTCACAAATGTAAATTGTAATCCTGCACAGGCTCATGGCAGAAAGTGGCCATTATTCAGCAGCTTGTGCATGTGTAAATGGGGTGTGTTAAATTAGCAGGGGTATAACCAACATTTCCTTGAATATTTATGTTTTGGGGAGAATGTTCCTTCAGCCTCCCAGGCATTTCAGTATGAAAAGGCTTGCTAGTTTAAACCTTCTCTTGTTAAATATTTCAGTCTCATAAAATTGCCTATGCAGCATAAAACAATGAGTATTTACAAAACTGTGTTTATAATATTGCTTGTGACATTCCCTGCACGCAGAACATGTAACAGCAGAGAATATGATTTGGCAGAGACTTGGATTATTTAGGCCTTACAGAGCCCTGCCCATACTCTTAGGGGTTCTTAAATAATAAATGCAAGTATCCCATGTGGACTTCAGTAGGGTACATGTACATAGTAATCATAGTTTCACAATCAAATTATACATTTAGTCAACATCTTTTACTTCTGATGTTTTTAAAGTGCTTTTTATTGATCCTGATTGAGCTCAGTTTTTGTGCAAATGCTTAAATCAATTTCTGTAGTGAAAAACACTGAGGTTCATCATGGATCTTTGATAATTTCAATGTAATAAAGATGGTTTGGCTCTATTGATTTCCCCTAAAATCTAAATCTGTGGAATAGCAGCTGATGAACCTGGCAAAGCTGAGCTTATGAGAGACTAAAACCAGCAGATTCAGGGAGTAGAAAGAAGGGAGGGAAGCTTTTAAAATACCAAGGATAATGTGGCAATATGATATTTATGAAAGAGGACATTTTGGAAAGCAAGTTTGGTTCAGGTGCCTTAGACTTCAAGAAAAATTCAGCTTCACCAAGTTGCAGAATGGGTCAGTTGGAATGGACCACTGGAGGTCTTCTGGTCCAAGCTCCCTGCTCAGGCAGGGTCCCCTAGGGCACAGGCTCGTGTCCATGAGGCTTTTGAACATCTCCAGAGAAGGAGGCTCCACAACCTGGAATTGTCACCCAGAGGATTTGGTCTGCAACTTAGTCCTCTTAACTGAAAGAAATTTTTTTTGCATGTTTCAGATCAAAGTAGTAGTGAGAAGAAGTTCTGGAATATCATCTTCAATAATTGCTTCAGTAGACACAATCTGGACACAGTACAGCTGAATTTTTCTAAAGCACTTGAATGATAAAAAGTTTTGAATGCTGTTTCCGAAAGAAATTAGTTACATGGAAACCAAATAAAATATCTCTGATACTTAGGGTCCTGTAATATATAGACTGCCCATATTTATATTCTGAACCAATTGATACTGATTTTGAAGAAGTCAGGATTTCATTCTTAATCACTTGTCAAAAATGAAATGTGTGTATTTATGTCAAAAGGCATTTGAAAACTTTGCCTTCTGTTACACATTC